TATCGCTTAAATCGTAAAATACCGAATGTGAGTAGGTATTGTTATATGAGGGCTATACGAAGACATGGAACTGCATTCGCTATTTTTTGTCATAGGTTGTAGCACCTACTACGAACTTTAAATACGAAATTTGATACAATTCCGGTAAAAAATATCTCTAAAATCATCAAAATACCGAATATGGGGGTCATATAAAAAGGTAGACCGATATAGCTCACTTACGAACTTATCCTGCATACTGACAAAATGCACAAGTCTGTAAATCTTTCGCCTTCTATCCCACTCACTTCGTCCCAATGATGGTGTGATTACAACAGACAGACAGATGGACATCTCTAAATCGGCTTAGAATTTTAAGCCTATCAAGAATATATGAAAAACTTATTTAAAAATTAATAACCTAAAATCATTCGATGGAGGCTACAACAAACAAAGCAGTCCAACCTTCATAGGAAGATGTCCATGGAATGATCAATAAAAGTTTTCATCACAAAAATCCTTTGCAAAACAAACGAAAAAATAATCCCAATAGCAACACTCAAAGTCGCCATATTTAGTCCTGGAAAATCTCCCGGGATATTTTCCCAATATCAATATTCCCTACCATGTATGAGTACTTTGTTATGCAAATACATGATTTCCGTTGAATAGCAATAATATTATCAATCATACGTAACCATAAATAAACAATAACTCATACGCTCTGCGGTACCTTTAATACCAAGAATGAATGTAATAAATAAAATGAAATAGTACTGGTGGTTGTGAGTGTGTGTGATATATTAACACCAGGGTTTTTTTCATTAATAAAATTCTTAATAAATCCAAAATTCCAGAAATTCAATTTATTAACATTACACGTCCATGTATGTGTGTGAATGTTATGCGCTGTACATTTCAATTGAATACTAAAAGAACTACAATTATCAAAGAGCTCAATAATTTCCAGGTAAAACCATTATAAATGTAAATCCCAGTGTTTTTTGTATTACTTTTCAACAGCTATATATTAATAAATAATTTAATTTAATAATTTCAAGTGGTGTAATCCTATTTCATAGAGATTATATAATTAGTTATATTATAAGCTAAGAGTATATTTTGCACATTTATCCTTTGTAAAATACCTTTGCAGTTACCATCACATACTTATAGTGATAGGAGGTCTATTATTAAATCAGTTTCTGCTCTATATTGAAATTTTCAAAAGTGGCGCCCAATAGAAGGCTGAAGGGATCAAAATCTATATATAATTTACAACAAAAATTTAAGATGTTTTAAAGCCATACAAGTGTGAGTCATACCCATACACAAGCAATTCAATCAATGCATTATTGCAACACAAAGACATTTCATTTGAAACCATTGACTGACACTCCTATGCAAAGGAATCTCACAAAAGATGAATAAGAAAATTAATCTCCCAACTAATAATATATCTAATTATAAATTTTATATTTAATAGGATTATTTGAAAAGAAATTGTTTTAGAAATTGTTATTAAGGTGTATATTTATAATGCTTTAACCTGGAATTAATTGAGTTCTTTGTGTGTTATAGTTTCCTTCATTTTTCAAATGAAATGGTGAACAAATATTCAAATATTAACATAAATGTAAACTACTCCCACATATAATTTTCTGTAATTATTGGTTTATGGAAAAATGTTCTTCACATGTGTTCTTATATATTTACGTGTATTAATATATCAAACACCAACACAAATAAGTCCTTTTTTATACCTTACGCCATATAGTGGTAAGCGTATTATGTCTTTGTGCATTTGTTTGTAACATAAGGAAGGAAATGAGACAGACCCATAGTTACTTTTGAGGATCTTCTTATAATCACTTTGTAAGTCGATTTATGGATGTCGGTCAGTCTGTACCTCCGTCTGTCCATGTATTTTTGTGAACAAAATGCAGGTTGTATTTATTATGTGATTGCGATGAAATTTTCAAAACAATACTTGTTTGGCCCAAGGACGAACCCTATTGAAATCGGTGAGAATCGGACCGAATTTGGATACAGCTCCCATATATATCTTCAAATGATTTCAGGTTAAATGTGCACTAAATTGACAATATTTATTGTCCTGAAATTTGTCACATCCGACCGAATGCAGTCTAGAGGCAAATAGATTAAATTTGGTGAAAATCTGATCAGATATAGCTACAGCTCCCATATACAGGGTGAGACGAAAAAGCTGCATCATTTCTAAGCCACTGCTGTCATTTCTAAGCCACTCGTCCGACAGCAGTTGAAATTATTCCAGTGACATATTGTTTACATTTTGGTGAGGATTTTACAGGAAAAAAGTTATTCATGATGGAATTCAAGCGTGATTTTATTATTTCTTTTTTATATTTGGCTGCAAAACCACAAGTAGCTATTGTTAGAGCACTTCAGCATTTAAATGTGAATAAATCTTTTGTGTCTCGTACCATCGCTCGTTACCTTAATACTGGTAGCGTAGCCCGACGTCATGGAAGTGGACGGAAGAAAACAGCAATATCAGCAGAAATGGTTCGAAAAATAAAGAAGCGACTTGATCAAAACCCGAGTCGCAGTGGCCGAAAAAGCATTCGTTGTTCAGCAGTTTGTAAACAAACAAAATGATCGTGTGTACTTGCCAAAGAGGTAACCTTCGGTTAGCCACCAGATCGTAAGCGGCGGCCATGGTGATGGTGTTGGCGGCCATAACAGCTGATGGTCGCTCTCCGCTCGTATTAATCGAACGTGGCATAAGAATAAATGCCGAATATTATCGCGAAAATATTCTGGAGGATGAATTAAAGCCTTGGACACGCAAACATTTTGGCCGCACAACTTGGACATTCCAACAGGACTCAGCACCGTCGCACTCAGCACGCGGCACCAAAGAATGGTTACAAAATGAGTTGAAGGTTGGCACTAAAAAATACCAAAGTGTCGATCACCTTAAGCAAGCGCTTAACCGAGAATGGGCCGACATACCGCAGAGCAACATTCGGGCAGTGTGTGATGGTTTCATTGGCAGTTTGAAGGCCATAATTCGTGCCAAAGTTGACCACTTCGAACAAATCTAAACTTATTCTTAAATTTGATGCTATTTCCGATATTTTTTGCTTTCATTCAAAAATCATGGCGTTTGAGTTTGTTGCAGTTTTTTAACTCACCCTGAGGTTATTGGAATCTTAAGTACGAAAGTGTAAGCAATTCAGTAACAAATTATGTTTAACACATGAGAAATACCTACACCAAATGACCAAGATAAGTCCAAACGGTCTGAATTTTAGTACATTCCACCAAATTCAATCTAGAAGCTAGTATATCGAATTTGGAGAAACTCTGTTGAGATATGGTCCCTCACATTCGTAATATACACTCCACAAGAATGATATTTGGTACCAGATATCAGATGCAGCCCACAAATATCTCTGTCAAATTTTATCGAGATTGGGTAAGATTTGGATATAGCTCCCATATATAACGTTGATTCGATTTCAGGATATATACATATTTTTTAATATATATATGGCAATGCTATTTGATATAAAATATTAAAATATCTCCGTCGAATTTTGTGAAAATGGATTCAGAATTGGATGTGCTTCCCATATATTAGTTCCTTCCTTCTGAAACCAAACCAAATACATTTTTTATTACGGGAGCTCTACTAAATATACATAGTGGTGTAGTGTATCGTCGGCCCCGCCCGACTTTAGACTTTTCTTTACTGATTTTGTTAAAGGATACGTATCATACGTACGTATGTGCAACAAAATATTCAAAAGTGAAACGTTGAAAAACAATGTCACGGGAAATTTTGCAGGATTACATATACTGGTCAGCTGTAGTCAGAGGTGATCAATTGTAGTCAGAGCTTGTCAGCTGTATTCAGAGCTAGTCAACTGTAGTCAGAGCTGGTCAGCTGTCGTCAGAGCTGGTCAGCTGTCATCCGAGGTGGTCAGCTGTCGTCAGAGCTGGTCTGCTGTCATCCGAGGTGGTCAGCTGTCGTCAGATCTGATAAGCTGTCGTCAGAGCTGGTCAGCTGTCGTCAGAGCTGGTCAGCTGTCGTCAGAGCTGGTCAGCTCTAGTCAGAGTTGGTCAGCTGTCGTCAGAGTTGGTCAGCTCTAGTCAGCACTGGTCAGCTATAGTCAGAAGGCTGATCAGCTGTAGTCAGATGGCTGATAAGCTGTAACCAGGGATCTGTAGCCAGGGATCAGCTGTAGCCAGTGATCAGCTGTAGTCAGATGTCTGATCAGCTGTAGTCAGAGGGCTGGTCAGATGTAGTCATAGGGCCGGCCAGCTGTAGTCAGAAAGTGCCGATAAGCTGTAGGCAGGGTAAGCTAATCAGCTGTAGAATTTATTAGATATGAATATCCTGACCACAATGATTTTAATTTTAAATGACTAGTTTTGTCCAGGTTTTGAGAGGTCACAAAACCCAAAATTTAGTTGTGTCGTATGTCCGGTCTGTACCCAGACACCTGTCTGCCATGGTGATATTAATATTTAACCTTTTTACCTTCCCCTATTCAGCAATGCTAAGGTTATTGGTTTCGCTTTGCATTGTTCTGGGCAGCTTTTTATGTTTTAAATCCCAATGGTCTTTCGGTGTTTGTTGCAAAAAAAAAAAGAAAACATTCGTTTGCATTTTCCTCTGCATATTTGTGGAAATCTCTTCCTTCGAAATATTTATGTTTAAATAATTTTCAGAGCATTTCTTTTGAAGTTTTTTTTAATGCCATGCCTTTGTTTTTGTTCGCTTAAATCATGCGGAAGCGACTGTGGTGCACACACATGTGAGTTGAGGTTTAAATAAACAGAATAATATTGGTTGGAGGTAAATATGTTTTTGCAGGAATATAACAAATATTTTCATATACATGGCAGTATCAACAAAAAGGTTTTATATATTTTTTAAAGACGAAAGTTTATGTTACCAATTTAATATATAACAGTCGTAACAAATAGTTTTATTTATAGAAGACGAAAAATTTATATATTAAACTTACCCCAAAAAGTCAAGGAATTGGCTGGAAAAATAATGAAAACCAAAACATTAATAAAAAAATATTTATAATTTATAGTTTTTCAATAAAATACAATTTCAATGCACCACAAAGAAAACTTGATATGCCAGAGAATTCGCCAAAAAATACTTGACATATCAAATCAAATAAAAATAAAATATTTAAATAAATTAAAAAAAAAGAGAAAAACATCGACAATGCCAAATCCATAACCACATACTCACACACAAGCACGAGCGCTCGCTCTTTCGTTTAAAAATGCTATTTGCTTTGACATTTTTATGGGAAAACTTTTTAGCTTTTCGCGCTCTCACAGTTGTGGTCGTTGTTGCTGTTGTTGCTGCCGCTGCTGAACAAATCCGCAAAAATAGGAATTTGATTGAAGAGATGTTGATGATGATATGGTTGCAGTCTGGTTTCATTCTTTTTTGGTTTTGGTGTTTTGCCAAACAAGTTGTGGGCCAATCGCCGGGCCAACAAACTAACCAACGAAAAAGCGAACGAACCATACAACCAACCAATACGAAAAGTTGTTAATGAAATGTATGACAGAACAGCACTCAAATACAAACATTTATTTTCGATATCGATAGCTGTGATAACTTGAAAAGTTTCTCCATAGCCTCGGGGAAGTTTAAATACAAATATTTTGAAAGAGTGGAGAGATGGGTAAAAATACTTTATAATGGCATTTTAAGTTTTTTATAGCGAAAAATGTTTGCACAAAAATAATATTTGGAATGGAATTGAATATGGTCATATTCCGTTAAGATAGATTTTCAATATCACTATGATATGAACATTGTAATATATTTTAAAATGGGTATGTGATAAATAAAGACAAAAATTGTCATAAACCAATTTTGGGAACAAAATGCAGCAATGAAGTCTCAATGTACGCCTAAAATGTGATGTAGAGGACAAAACAAAGGTTAATGACTTCAACTTCTATCAGAGAACTCAAGTACCCTTGGGCACTCCCTCCAATCCCCTTTGGTCTTCTATCGGGATGTATTTCCTCTTTTCTGTTATTAGTAAACTCTCACCTTCCATGAAAATATAGCGTCTGATCTTCCATCAGGAAATCTCATAGTCTTTAATATGAGCCCCTTTGGACTTCAACAAAAAGTCATCACACGAGACTTTCAATAAAACCAGAAATGTTGTCTTTCTGATAAGGATTCCTTCTAGGTCTCGGTTTTTTAGAAGACCCTCTTGTTTTCCAGCGACGGTCCCTTGGGTTAGGATGTATGTACCCAAGGATTTTGAAAATTACGAAAAGTTCTAAAATGGTACATAACTTCTAAAATGGTATTATGTAAACGAATAGAGCTAAACCAAGTTCAAAAGTATCGGTACGATTTGCCGACATATGTATACCCTCAACCAATGTTCGATTATTTAAATATATTTTGACTTCTGTTATGATTATTCAAAATGTTGACCCTCTATGGAGTAGGTTCAGAAGGAATGCGCCAACATTGTCCATTTCGTATTTGATCTAAACAAATACGATTTAAATATTGCGGCATGCCTTCACTTTATAGAGATATGTGATAATTATACCCTCAGTCATATGGCTACAGAGGGTATATACAATTTGATACGGTCAAAACGTGTCTAGTCGAAATAACGATTTTAGACCCTAGGTCTCTTTGGACCAAATCCGTTTCAAAACATTTGGAGTCGATCTAGTGATGTCTGTCCGTCCGTCTGTCTGGCTGGCTGGTGCGCACGATAACTCTCGAATATTTTGATTTGAAAAGTTGGAGCAAAATCGGATTATAGTTTGTCTTTCTGTGCATAATTTCGAGCTTTTGTGGGGGATATACCAGAAGGAATCGACCGATATTGCTCATGTCCGAACTCGATCTAAGGTTGATAATAATATTACAATATACCAAGTTTGTACCAAATCGGATACGGGAAGTTGATGTTATTTTCAGCAAGAATATTAATGAGAATAAGAAAAATCTTCGGCATTCCTTAAGAAGAATTTTCGAAATTGTAAGACCCGTTGGCCTTTGGTTTTTTGGGTTTTTCCAAAAAAAAATATCTTATCTTAGGAATTCTTATCGAACATTAGTAATTTTTTATTAGAAGAGCTTCTGGTATCTGATCAGGCGTCCTTTGGTCTTCCTTAATTTCTTCTTCCACCTGAAATTCCTTTCGGTTTCTAACTGAGAAAATTCTAGTGTTTTTTTTTTAATTCCTTCTTCTTTAGAATATAATAACTTTTTTGTAAACTTCTGTAAAAATACAGTTTCTATCTGAAGACGGTATATATTTCTATAAGAATACCTCCTCTTCGGTAAGAAAATGAATTTAAGTTGGGAACACATAAAATGTTTTTTTTTTTTTTTTTTTTTTTTTTTTTTTTGACTGACTTAAGTCATCGGCTTCTTCGGCTTCTTCGAAAATGAGCAAGCGAGATATACCCATAGGTCCTTTAGATGCTCTTCATAGAATCACATTTTTACTCGGTTTATTCATGTCCGTCGGAATACAAAAATATATTGTATTTTTTAAACAAAGTACAGGTCGCAATTTTCACCCGATCAAGACAAAGATTTGCACGAATCATCGGATCAAGAAAAATATCTCACACATTTTATTAGTGACTTAATATGAAGTACCCTATTATTGACCATCTGTAAGTAGATTCAGTAGCTCAATTGGCCAAAGGCCCAAGGATTAGCTAAAATGTTGTTAAATTTTAATTTACTTTTTGCTCGAAAATTTTGCTCTCACAATTTACCGGTTCTTGTCGGTAATGACTAAAAGCATTAGAAAATCCCACTGCTATTCTCTCTGAGAAAAACTTGTGAAGCTTTATGAGATGACTTTTCTTTCCGTTTGATATGTGAATGCCTACTATTAAAATCTCTTGTCCTCCCTAAATACCAAGTAATTCTTAAAATATGAGTGAAATGAAACTTGACTATAGCGATGCTGAATTTTGCGTCGATGGAGGAAAAAAGGACGTAGTTCACTTCATCTGACGAAAAGTAATTCTTGGCAGCCAACTTTGAAGAATTATATGTATCCAGAATCCTTCCGAAACTTCTTTATGTCCAATACGAAATTAATTTTGAAAAAATAGCACTTTTTTATAAACGAAATTGCATTTCAAAACTTCATACAGAAAACTATTTATGCTTAAGTTTCTTTTAAAAAATAATTCATAATGAGTTCAACTGTTTCTTTAATTTGCAGGTAATGCAAAGTAAATACAAAAGAAAATTGTCATAAGATGACGGGAAAGGCATTTGAAACTTAAAAGGCTGAACGCAATAAGCCAACGTCAAGCAAAGACGCTCAAGTATTTACCAAACAGGCTGTTTACATTTTAATTTCAAATGAAATTCGTGCTATAATAGTGTCAACACACACTGACAAAGAGGGGGGCTTAAAGAGAAATGCATGATAATCAACACACACACACACAAGCAAACAAACAACTGGAAAAGTAATAATGCACAACAGGAATACACACACACAACCAATGGCAACAATTACCAATGTCTTTGCACCATACGAGTGTGACTTGTAGATACGAATGTGAGACACACGTTTAACATTTACGTTTACACGTTAACTTGTTATGTGTGTGTGTGCAAAAGAGAAATAGCCTTTCTCACTGTCACACGGCATGGTCGCCGTCTTTTGAGAGAACAATGACAATGCCTTCATAGCCGCCGTGACATCGGAGTGTAAGCAATCAACAAACACTTTTAAACTTTTACACGTATACAGCATGCAACACACACACACACACAAACTCATTCATATGTTGTGAACCGCACAAAAGAGCTACGTGCGTTCAACACATATCTCACAGGCTAAGTAGAAGAGAAAGGATCTTGAGCGGTGACAGATAATTGGTTGGACAGTGGTTGTGATATTATATTTTAATGAAATCGTAAAGAAATGACTATAGGATCGAGGGAAATATCTAAAAAATATTATTTGTAAGGATAAATGAATGAATGCGAAGTACCCTAGTATCAACTGACTAACAATTGTAGTTTTGGAATTGGCATTGTTATTCTTAGGGGTAACTCAAATAAGCCAAATCTTGAATTAAGTTCCGAAGTATTATAGAGACTTGAGCCACAACCATGGCTGCAAAACCCTCAAAAATTATTTTGTGTCAAGTGCCGTTTTTACCCACCGGTCCGAATTATTTATATCCAAACCCATAATAATTCCAACTACAGAGAAAAGTTTTAAAACTAAAAGTCTAACCATTTTTGGCCAGACCCCATCATCCTACCATATCTTCGAGTGATTGATAAAAAAATTCTACCTTTATAAAATAGTTGTGGAATAACTGACCTAGACTAACACCCAGATGAAACGGGGAAAATAGAATCTTGATATTTTTTACGAGGGTCAGTCTTGGTGAGGGTTTTTGAAAATTTGTAATAAAAGGATACGAAAAGTACAAAAATGTATTAAATATTGAATACTTTGTATTGGGCAAACGGAATGAGCTAAAGTTCTGAAATTTGGAATGGGATTCACCGATGGAGTACAGGATAAATGTACCAAAAGGCTTTTGTAAAATTCGAACTTTAAGGTTATAAAAAGTTCTAAAATATTAATATGAGAACAGATATAGGTGGAATCCCGAAATGTGGTATTTAGATCTTTGTTGTATCTGATGGTGGTTTTACAAATACGTACTATAATTGTTAGAAAAGTACTAAAAAGTAATTAATCGAAAAGAACTAAATTATATTCATTTTGCATCACATATGTTGTCTAGAATGTAGAGATGTAGATGTTAATAAATTTTGGTATTGGGTGGAGAAATAGAGCTGAAATTTGATATTGAGGTCACTATTGGTTTGTAGGGTTTACACATGGAGGCGTTGAAATAATTTTTGAGAGAAAAATTGGATGTGAGTCAATTGTACAATGGTTTTACTAATGTCATCCTCAGTTAAGATAAAAATAAAAGGTTTTATAGACCTTTTGTGCATGTTGAGTACCAAAGA